ACGCCACTGACTCTGGGTCCAAGAGTCCCCAGGTCTCCTCACACTGCTTGCCATCCAGGTCCCCAGCTGGGTCCACAAAAGTCCACTGAACATTGTAGGGTCAAAAGGAAGCTTTTACAGCAGATTTGCCTAGTGCACCATGTCCTTTGATTTCTTGACAGCTGCTTCTATGAGCATTGATTGTGGATCCAAAAGCAAAATGAAGTCTTTGACAACGTCAGTCTTTTCTCTGTTTATCGTGGTATTATGTATTGGTTCAAATGTGAGGATTTTTGTTTCCTTTACATTGAGGTGCAATTCATACTGAAGCTATAGTCTTTGGTCTTCATCAGTGTTTCAAGTCCTCTTCAATTCCCACAAGCAAGGCTTTATCATTTGCATACTGCAGGTTGTTAATGAGTCTTCCTCCAATCTTGATGTCATGTTCTCATTTACATAATCTAGTTTCTCAGATTATTTGCTTAGCATACAGATTGAATAAGTATGGTGAAAGAATATAACTGCAACACACACCTTTCCTGTTTTTTAACCATTCAGTATCTCTTTGTTCTGTTCTTAAGAACAAAGAGATACTGAATGGTTCTTGGTCTATGTACAGGTTTCTTCATGAGCACAGTTAAGTGTTCTGGAATTCCCATTCTTTGCAATGTGACCCATAGTTTGTTTGTTAAGATTCACATAGTCGAATGCCTTTCCATAGCAAAGCACAAATAAACATCTTTCTGGTATTCACTGCTTTCAGCCAAGATCCATCTGACACCATCAATGAGATCCTAGTTTCACTTCCTCTTCTGAATCCAACTTGAATACCTTCCTGTCGATGTACTGTTTTGGAACTATTTTCAGCAAAATTTTAGTTGCACGTGATATTATATTATTGGATGATTTCTGCATTCTGCTGGGCCACCTTTCTTCTGAATGATCACTAATATGGATTTCTTCCAATTGGTTGGCTAGGTAGCTGTCTTCCAGATTTCTTGACATAGATGAGTGAGCACTTCCAGTGCTGCATCAGATTTGTTGAAAGATTTCGATTTTTATTCCATCAATTCCTGAAGCTTTTCTTTTCGTTAAGGTCTTCAGTGCAGCTTGGACCTCTTCCTTCAATACCGGAGATCATTGATCATATGCTGTCTCTTGAAGTGGTTGAGCATGACTAGTTTTGTTACATTGACTCTATGCTTTCCTTTCATCTTCTTTTGATGCTTCCTGTCCACAGAATCCTTCAATATTATATACACCTCAAGACTTGAATTGTTTTCTTCAGTTCTTCCAGCTTGAGAAATGGCTGAGCGTGTACTTCCCTTTGGTTTTCTAACTCCTCCAGGTTTTTGCACATTTCATTATAACATTTAATTTTGTCATCCCAAGCATTGCTTTGAAGTCCTCTGTTCATCTCTGACTTCATGTTTTCTTCTACTTCAGCTACTCTCTGTTTGGAGTCCTGGTGTGGCGCTACGGGTTAATGTGTTGGACTGTAAGGTTGGTTTGAATCACGTGATCAGTGGTTCAAGCTCATCAGCCACTCCTTTGAAACCCTTTACAGGGTCACTATGGGTTGGAACCAACTTGATGGCACTTAACAACAACATCTATGGAGTAGTTTCTAGCACCAAGACTGTATTTTCCAACTATTTATCTTTCTTTTTTGTTTCCACCGTTTGCATTCCAATCACCAGTAATTATCAATGCATCTTGATGCATATTTGATCAACTTCAGACTGCAGGAGGTAGTAAAAATCTTCAGTTTCTTCATCCTTGGCTTTAGTGTTTAAATTTAATGAATATTCTATTAGCTGGTCTTCCTTTTTAGGTTATCCTATCACTGACTGCATTGTATTTCAGGATTGTTCTTGAAATATTCTTTTTAATGATAAATGTGATGCCATTCCTCTTTAATTTGTCATTCTTGGCACGGTAGACTGTATGATTGATTCATAGTTAACCTTACCAGTCCATTTCAGCTCACTAATGCCTAGGTTATCGATCCAGTCACTCATTTTTTTACTACTTCCAATTTACCTAGATTCATACTTTGTACTTCCACATTCTAATTATTAATGGATATTTGCAGCCGTCTACTCGCATTTTGAGTTGTGCCACATCGGCAATGAAGGTTCCTTAAAACTTTGATCCATCCGTCACTCAGGTCAACCCTACTTTGAGAAGGCAGCTCTTCCCCAGTCATATTTTGAGTGCCTTCGAACCTGAGGGGCTAATTTTCTGGCACTATATCTGACAGTGTTC